CTGTTATTTTCACTAAGGCTGAGGCTTCCCTTTGGTCACTGAAAACCACCTTCTGATTGGTCCAGGCGGGGGGGGGGGTGTTTTTGTGATATTTAAAAACAGACCTTGATATTCCCTTTAAGAGGCAACAGTCTGGCTCAGTCAGTAGAGCGAGACTCTTGATCTCTCGGGGTCATGGGTCTGAGCCCCATGTGGGGTGTGGAGATCATTTAAAAGAAAAATCTTTAAAACAAAAAAGAGGGGTGCCTGGAGGGCTCAGTTAAGCAAGCAGTCTCAATTTTGGCTCAGGTCATGATCTCAGGGTCATGAGATCCAGCCCCGCATGGGGCCCCATGCTGGGTGTGGAATCAATCTGCTTAAGATTCTCTCTCTCTCCCTCTGTCTCTCCCCACCCCCACCCCAGTGCTTACATGCTCTTTCTCTCTCTCTCTTTTTTTTTTCGCTCTCTTTCTAAATAAATAAATTCCCTTTAAAATAAAATAATTGGGGAAAAAAGCAAAGCAAGAGTGTTTCATATTTATGTGTGCATACACGTGTGTATATAAAAAAGATATTTTGTATGTAAATGGGTATATGTGTGTGTGTGCATGTGTATATACAGATGTGTGTTTATGTAGGTACATGGGTGTGTGCCTTTGTACATGGGTGTGTGTGTGTGTACACGGGTATATGTGTGTGTATGTGTGTGTGCATGCATATTGGTATATGGGGGCGTGTGTGTATACAGGTATATGGGTGTGTGTGTACACGGGTATATGTGTGTGTGTGCGTACATATGGGTATACGTGTGTGTGCATATGGGTGTGTGTGCATGCATTCGGGTATATGGGGGGTGTGTACAGGTGTGTGTGTAAAGAAAACAGATGAGTGTGTATATGAGCACACACAGGTACACACGCATAGATTCTGCCTGCATAAGAGCTGTTGGTCTTGACGGTGACGGTCTCCGGGAGACAAGACTTGGGCGCCACCGCAGCAGGGAGCCCCACTTTCACTGCGTGCACACGCCCCTCACACAGGGCGATGTTTTACCGTGTGCTTCTCAGAACACTTGTTTCGGTCTCTTTATTTCCCCTCATTTAATCTCTTCACTGACTGGACAGAGCTCATTCTCACCTCGCCACACTCCTCCCCATCTGAACAATCCAACAACAAAAGACCCGAACGAAGAACCGGAAAATCAGCGTGGACACCGAGGACCCGCTGTGGCCAGTCCAGACTCCCCTGTGGGGGCGGGCCAGGTTCCAGTCCCTTGTCACCTTCCGCAACGCGTGCGATAACCCAGCTTCTCCCACCACACCATTCTGTCTTTTCACATCCCACAGCGTTTTCAGATGGTTTGGGTGTTTTCAAAATTCATTTAACACGCTATTATTCGAATTTTCAAACACACTCTGAAGTCGAGAGGCCAATACAAGGGACCCCCCCATATTCATCGCCCCCATCCGGAGACCATCAGCTCATGCCTGACCTTGTTTCACTGATAACCCAAACCCACTGGGGAGTGTTTCGCCCCAGAAGACCGCAACACTGATACCTGCTTTTCTTGGCGGCATGGGGGAACTTTCCTTTAATAACTTTATTGAGCTATAATCCACATACCATAAATTTCACCCCTTAAAATGTACAATTCAGGGGAGCCTGAGTCAAGCATCTGGCTTTGGCTCGGGTCATGATCTCGGGGTCCTGGGACCGAGCCCCGTGTCAGGCTCCCTGCTCAGCAGGGAGCCTGCTTCTCCCTCTCCCTCTACCTGCCCCTCCCCCTGCTCAGGCACTCTCTCTCCCTCCCTCTCTCAAACAAATAAAATCTTTAGGAAAAAAAAAAAAGTACAATTCAATGGTTTTACCACAGTGACCTAATTTCAGAACATCTGTACCCATTAGCAGTCACTCGCCTGCCATCACCAGCCACCGCAGCCCCAGGCCACCACTTGTCTGCTCTAGGAATTTGCCGGTTGCAAACATTCCATATAAATGGGACTACACCTGATGCTGGGAATGCTTCCTTAGGACTTTCCTAAACCCAACACCTCTGATTTAGTCAAACGTCAGACGCTCAAAGGAAGTCAGCCCTCTGTCCCTCCTCCCGCAGTGTTCACATGAGGACGAGGGGTACCCCTACCTGAGCCCCGACGGTCCCTGTTCTGCACTCCTCAAGCTGTAGGTGGCCCTCCTGCCCACGGAGGTAACCAGCCACCTTCATGTAAGGGAAATATGGGCCAGCTCGGGGATGCACCAACCCAGTCTCCCCAGCCACCCTTTTCCTTCTCCTCCCCGTCCCCCTTACAAGGCTGCACAGAAACCAGGAGCAGATCTCCTGCCTCCCAGCTCCGGGGATGCTCCAGGCCTCCGCATGGAAAACCTTATCTGTTTTTTAGAACAGAAACAAAAGCAATGCCCTTAAAAGGAGAGGAACCGCCGAACGGGGAGGGTCGGGAGGACGGCGCTACCGGGCCGGCTTCCTCCCACCCCGCTCCGGTCTCCAATCTCCCGTTTCCAAGACAGGAGGGAAACTCGGGTCCTCGCCTGGGAAGACTCCCAAGACCGGGGTCTGGGGTCTGTCCCCTCCTTGAAAGAAAGCAGGGCTGGGGGAGCTTCCCCGTGCCTGCACACTCCCTCCAGCGCCCATGCAACTCCGACCCAGGACCCCCAGTAAGGAAAGCTTCTAGGAGAGCAATTCTCCACGCGCGGGGTGGGACCAGGCGTGCGCGACCGGCCACTCGGCTCGGCCACAGTTCAGGGCAGGACTCAGAATCCAGCCAGCATGTCTGTCCTCTGCCACTGGCCTCCTCTGTTCAGCACCTTAATAGGGTTCTCGAACGCATCGGCCTGTGGGAGGGGCTCCTCTAGACCGAGTCCCTGGGACACAGGAGGCGATGCTTGCAGAGCGAGAGCTCTCCCCAGGAGCCTAGGCTTTAGCGAAGGATCAGAAATAAAGCAAAGAAACACTCACATACTCGTGGCCATATAACATAAGGGAAATCTGTACGTCAGATCTCGTGCTGTGAAAATGGGTTTTCTACTTGTTTCCGCTTTCTAGAAGTACCGAAGACCTTCTCGTTAACGTTGGAAGGGCTGTTTTACTAATTCTAAGACCTGGGATTTTTTTAAAGATTTTTTTTCTATTTTGGGGGCACCTGGGTGGCTCAGTGGGTTAAAGCCTCTGCCTTCAGCTCAGGTCATGATCCCGGGGTGCTGGGATCGTGTCCTGCATCGGGCTCTCTGCTCCGCGGGAAGCCTGCTTCTCCCTCTCCCACTCCCCCTGCTTATGTTCCCTCTCTCGCTGTGTCTTCTATCAAATAAATAAATAAAATCCTTTAGAAAAAAAAGAATATTCACATTTGTGACCTGGGCTCCTCCGGATCATTGTATAACCTCCTGGACATTCGAGGGCTTTGGCGCTGAGAATGAAGGCTGGTTGGGTCTCAGCCTCCTGGCCGGCTACCTCCGTCAGCAGGAGATGCCTCTCGCTCTGGCCTGCTGCCTGGAAGAGTGATCTGCTCAAGGAACAGCCTCAGGGTCCCATCTGTACTACTCTCACCGTTTTGATCACACCCACCTTGCTGGAGGCCTCAGGATGGCTTCTCTCTCCTGCTGCCCACAGGAGAATCTGGGTCTGATTCTGGGGCTGAAGGAAGCTCAACCTGGAATTTCAAAGAGCCCAGAGTCGGTGGTGGCAGCGGGGATTGGGGGGGGGGGATGACCAGCCCCGAAATTCATAATTGCATGGTCACATGGTAAGCGTAGTCACAGACGTGTGTCCCCGGGGAACCTCCGGAAGAGGACAGCTCCTGACCCAGACTGGGGGGCCAAGGTTTCCCAACACACAGCAGCTGGGCTGAGACTCACAGGAGGCAAGCCGGAGGCAGCCCGTCAAAGGATCAGTGAGGCTGGAGGAGGGAAGGCACAGGGCGGGAAACAGGGTGATGTCCGCAAACAACCGTGAGCGATTTGGTGGGAGGCCCGGGGGGCCGGAAGGAAGACGGGAGATCAAGGACAGGGCCAAGCGCTGCAGGATTTTACGTGGATATTAACGTCTTGGCATTGTCTGAAGCGCACAGCAGAACATGTCCCATGCAGGTGGCCCCCCCCTAAGTATATTTCTACAGAAGTACAGCGGAGGGATGGGTTAGGAGCTCTCTGAAGTTCCTCTGTCCTTGCAAACCAGCAGCTCTCCAGGCCTCTATGAGGCCTGAGTTCTAAATACCGTGAGTTTCTCTTATTATTATTATTATTTTGTTTTAGAGAGAGAGAGAGAGAGAGCACGCAGGGAGAGGGGCAGATGGAGAAGAACAAGCAGACACGGTGCTGAGCGGAGAGACCCCCCCCCCCAGGGCTCGATCCCATGATCCCAAGTTCACAACCTGAGCCGAAACCAAGAGTCGGATGCTCAACGACCGAGCGGCCCAGGCGCCCTTACACAGTGTGAGTTTCTAATGGGGAAGCAAGTGTCAAACCTCATCCATGGGCTTATCTTCTAGGAAGTCAGCAGCCCAGCAGTATCCCTCTGGGGGAGAGGGCGTCAGCTCGCCCTCACCTTGAAGGTACAATGTCCGGTTTGGCTGGCCTTTCCTGCTCCTCAGTGAGCTCTCAATGGCCTGGATCCCAGACTGGGGGCGGGGAGGCTGCGGCCCCTACAAACGCCTGCGGGATGGGGCTCTGGACCCGACGGGCCGGGCTGGAGCAGAGGCGTAAGACAAGCGAGGAAAAGATCAGGCTGACAGGGCTCGCCCGCCTCTGCCGTGGGAGGCCGGAGCTCCGCAGGCGCAGGGCAGGCGGGGCTGCTGCGGGCGCAGAAGGCCGGCGGGGAAGAGAGAAGACGTATCCGAACCGGGGCGGGCCTCCCCTGGGCACAGCGGGAGGAGCTGAGGGACACTTCGGGCGGCCTCGCGGGACCTGCAGGCAGGGCTGCTGGCAGCCGTCGAGGCTCGGGGCACCCACGGGGCGGAGGACGTGAACAGTCAGGGCCTGCACACGCGGACACCGCCCACCGCCCGCAGCCCGACCCCGGGACCGGCAGGAGGAGGGGCGCGGGCGTCCGTCCGTCCTCGCAGGCCTCAGCGTGAGAGCAGCCGCGGGCCCCCCGCTCCCGCCCCGCCCGGAGACCGCTCCCCAGGACGCCGGCTCCCAGGGGGCGCTCGCTGCGGGGGCGCCGGGGCGCCGAGCAACCGCGCAGGTTCCGACGGGAAGGAAACTCAGACCCGGGTCTGCCCGCGCCTTCCGCAAGTCCCCGCGTAGGGCTGGCCCCGGATGAAGCGATCCCCGCACGGTCGGCTTCGGAGCCGCGGGGCCCCGGCCTCACGCCGACCCGGTCAGGCCACGCGGGAGGCGCAGCCTTCTGCGCGTGCGCGCCCCGCCCCGGGCCTGTCTCGCGGGCGCGCTCGGCCACGGGGTCCCGCACGGCCGCGCGCGCTCGAGGCTCTGTGAACGCGCAAGCGCAAGCCGCCCCCGGGGGAGGGGGAGCCTGCGCCTTGTCACCCCCTGACGGACAGCAGGGGAACAACAGGAGGGCTGCAGGGAGCGGTTCCGGCGGGCGCAGGTGCGGGCGGTGCGGACCGCCGAGCTGAAGAAGCGCTTTGCCGTCGGGCCCCTCGGGGCCGACCTCGCTGTGCGGCGCCCCCTCCTCTCCCTGCTCAGAACAAGGGAACCGGAAGGCGCCCGCCGCGGGCCCCCCGCAGGTACTGGCCCTCCGTGCTTTACCTCACGGATCTTCCCGGCGGCGTCACGGAGGTCGGGCCCGGGCCGGCGGGGAAGCGGCGGCTAATGCGCGCCCCAGGGCCGTGCGCCCTCCCTGCTGCGGACCCAGAGCCTGGCCTAAGGCGAGCTGCTTCTCCAGCGCCAAGAGCGCAGGGTCCCACGCTCGTGTCCAGAGAAGCTGGTTACGAGGAGAACCTTCCAGGCTCTGGATGCCCGGGGGCGCCGTCGGTTCGGGCTCTGCCCTCCGCTCGGGCGTGACCCCAGGGTCGTGGGATGAGGCCCCCTCCCAGACTCCCTGCTCAGCCTCTCCCTCCGCCTGCCACTCCCCCTGCTTGTGCTGTCTCTCTCTGACAAATAAAATCGTAAGAAAGAAAGAAAAGGAGGGAAGGGAGGGAGGGAGAGAGAACATTTTTTAGGCTAGTCCATGGGCGTGGGGCACCAGCTTGGAGCCACAGGAGCTCAGGGCAAGACCTTCCCAGGTATCTGGAAACATGTTTCTTCTCCGGGGATTCCAGGGATGGTGGGGGGAGCTGAGGGGACATGCCCGCTGATGAGCCCGCCAGGGACACTGCAGGTTAACGGCAGCTCCTAAGCTGTGAGCTTGTTTCAGGATGAGAGAAGCAGCTGCTACAACCCCCATCTGGTGACGAGACCTTTAGAGGAGACATCCTACCCAGATGCCAGTCCCCTCTTGCCTTCCAAGAGAGACAGACGTGGGAACATGTGCGGTGAGGCAGACGCTGCTGACCTTGGGCCTGGAGGGAGGCAAACACTGAGTCACCTTTAAGGGGTGGCTGGATACATTGACGAAGGGCCATAGAGTATCGGGGCCATAGGGAGAACCTGCGAGCCAAGTTAGGTTAGGTGGAAAGCTTAATAAAGCCAGCCTCCCTTGGGTAGCATCCCCTAAAACACTATTGGCACAGGAAGCAGGACCTGGCACCCCCAGGGTCTCAGACGCCACATGAAGAGCGCAATGGTGCAAACCCAGATGGTGATTCGGCTGGGGGGGGGGCAGTCTCAGGGGATGGCGAGTAGGAGCCGCCCAACATCCACCCGAACCCACACGCCATCAGGCAGCTGCTCACATTAAATCTTTAAAAGGGAAAAGAATGATTTCAAACGAAATCAAAGTAGAAGCTAGAAAGTATAGAAAAGCTTTGGAAAAGACTGTTTTTCAAAGAAAGTTTTGGGATCCCCAAGTGTTTTCAAGATCCCCACACTCCAGGTGGGGGAAAAAAAAAAAGTCCTGACGAACAACTAAGGGAAGGAAGGAGGTCCCTCCAAGGAGGAACACAGAGACAAGTAAATGGCATTTCCAAGGAAACCAAGGGTGAAAGTGAAGAAATGTCCAAACTGAGTGGGCAAGAAAGCTGGCAGACTGGGCGGCCTCTGCCCGTGATCCCAGGGTAGGCCCACAGATAGCGGTTCCCATGTCTTCAGAAGCAGCTTTGGCGGAGGCCAGAACGGGGAGGCAGTCTCAGGAAATACGTGAGACTCCTGAAGTGGGAGGTCATGGTGGCTTCTGGAAAGAAAGGTGACATGTGACGTCCAGGAGGCGTGGAGTCAAGTCATCAGGGTTGAAGCCCTAACTTTGCCCCTTAAGAACTGTAGGACCTCGGGGCGCCTGGGTGGCTCAGTGGGTTAAGGCCTCTGCCTTCGGCTCAGGTCGTGATCTCGGGGTTCTGGGATCGAGCCCCGCATCGGGCTCTCTGCTCGGCAGGGAGCCTGCTTCCTCCTCTCTCTCTGCCTGCCTCTCTGCCTACTTGTGATTTTTGTCTGTCAAATAAATAAACAAAATCTTAAAAAAAAAAAAAAAAGAATTGTAGGACCTCAGGCAACCCATTAACCTATTCAGACCTCAGCCTTCCCATATGAAAAATGGACATGAAACAGATCAACTTTATAGGGTTGTCTTAAGGACGGCATGCACGTGGAGCGCGGGTACATGGAGTGGAGGCACGTGCACCAGGTAGGACCCGTGGGCCCTTCTCTAAGCCTAAAGTTCAGCACATTTTAAAACACTAATCTGGGGGCGCCTGGGTGGCTCAGTGGTTAAAGCCTCTGCCTTCAGCTCAGGTCATGATCTCAGGGTCCTGGGATCGAGTCCCGCATCAGGCTCTCTGCTCAGCAGGGAGCCTGCCTCCTCCTCTCTCTCTGCCTGCCTCTCTGCCTACTCATGATCTGTCAAATAAATAAAAAAAAAAAAAATTAAAAAAAAAAACAGCAATCATTAAAAAACAAAACAAAACAAAAAAAACACTAATCTGGAAGGACGAAGTGGATAAAACACATTTACATAGGGCAGTCTTCCTGGGGAAAACAACCCAACTGTATTTTTAAAGTAGTGAGCTCAGGGCGCCTGGGTGGCTCACTGGGTTAAGCATCTGCCTTCGGCTCAGGTCCTGGGTTTGAGACCCCAGTCGGCGGGCTCCATTCAGCGGGGAGCCTGCTTGTCCCTCCTCCCCTCCCCAGATCATACTCGCACTCTCCCTTCTCTAATAAATAAAATCTTTAAAAATATATAATAAATAAAATAATGAGCTGTCAGGGTGCCTGGGTGGTTCAGTCGGTTTTGTGGCCGACTCTTGATTCCAGCTCAGGTCATGATCTCAGGCCACGAGACAGCCCCACCTTCAGCTCTGCGCTCAGCGGGAAGTCAGCTTAAGATTCTCTCTCTCCCTCTGCCAGTGCTCTCCCTCCCCCCTAAAACAAATAAGCAAATTAAAAAAAAAGAGTAGTGAGCCCTCCCATGCCAGGCACGGCTGCATGTGTCCGTACCACCCGGCGGCTTGCTCCAACCCGCCTAGAGCCTGTATTCCATCATTTTCCTGCTCACATTCCATCTCCCGGGCCGGATGATAAACTGCTCAAGTAAACAGTGTCGCCAACCTATCCATTACATTCCAGGTTGTGGGTCACTGCCAATGGGTCCCTGAAGACCTGGCAGTCACAGCTGCCAGAAGAAAGGTAGCCAGGGTTGGGGTGTGGAAACCAAGAGTAAACATATCATGCCCTCGCCCAGAGCGGTGGTTGGTCTGCAGTTGGGATATTTCTGTGGTTTTGGCTGCTGTGGGCAAACAGCTCACTTTTTCACAGGGTGGAAGTGTTTCCCTGAGAACAGGACCAACGCATGGGGATTCCAGAATTCTGCAAGGTGCATGGGGATTCCAGAATTCTGCAAGGTGCCTGCAGGGCACGGATACAATGTAACCTCCAAAGCCTTTCCCATGCTGTGCTCTCATTTCCCCCCCAAGTCAGATCCTTAAAGCAGGCCAGAAGCATCCTTCCTGGACAGTATTAAGACAATATACTATCTGGAAGGCTGAACACACCCAGCTGAAAAGCAGGGACACGAACAGGATGCAAATAATCAGGTGCAGGAAACTTGACCAACTCGTTCAAGAGCCATCAGAATCCCAGCTGCTGGGAGACCGTCTGGGCAGCGAGCTGACCGTGTGGACTTGGACCCCACGTGAACCCCAGATCCTCCACGCACTGCTGGAACAGCCGGGGGGGCGTGGTCGCATGGGTCTCCCGCTGCTTCCCCTCATCCCTCCCTCTCTCCTCTGTCCAGGACCGAGGGCAGTGCTCGGGGCAGAGGCAGAGCGCTGGGTAAGCTGAAACCAAGGGAAATAACGGGCAACATTCGAGACCAAGACACAGCGGTGTTGAATCTTGATCTGGGTGGTGACAGTGAGGGTGCACACCTGTGTAAAAACTCACTGGACCACACACTTAGGACCTGTGCATTTCACTTAGACCCTCTACACCTCCGTGAAAACCCAACCCGAACCACCACCAGCAACGAGCTCCCTGCATTTGCTACCTTTATTGAACGCCCCACATCCTCCAGGGACCCCAGCCAAACCAGAACCCAGACAGATCCCCCAAATATAGCAGGAGGCCTGGAAGGGGACGGGAATGACTTGCCATCCACGCCCCACCTCCCTGGAAACAGAAGCCCACCACAGACAAGACAGACAGACAGGGGCCCGGAAGAGGACATGCCTCACCCTAGGTCCTCTTCCCTTTGCCCCGCTTAAAAAGAAAGTCAAAACCCTGGCTATGCAGCACCCAGCCCCCCCCCCCCCCAGCAGCATTTGTGGGACCGTCCCCCCACACACGCGAGTGGCGCTCCGAGGCAGCTCCCATCCTCGTCCTTCACTTTGGTTTGCTCCTGGCAACTCCGTGCACGCTTCCTTTCTCCAGCCTCCCGCCCAGCTTCTCCCACGCCGTCCAGCACCTACTCGGACCTTCTCGCCCACCTGTCGCCTCCCTGCGCTGGGCTCCTGGGGCGGCGGCGGCTCCTCAAGCCCCACCCCCGCTCGGCTCCCCCCTACTCCCTCGGCCCAGCTGGGCCGGGCTCACACGGCCGCACTGCTCTCCTTGAGGTCGGGGGCTGAGCGCTGGCGCCTCATGCGCGGGGGGGTGGTGTAGGGAGGGTAGCGGGGCCCCGGGGGCCGCTGCGCCGGGTACGGTTGGGGCTGCTGGGGGTAATAGTTGTGCTTTTTGGGCTGGAAGTGCTGCGGTTCGGTCTGCGCGGACCCGCCTCCCCGGGACCGGCCGCCTCCGTCCAGGGAGTTCCTGCGGGGCCGGTGGGACCTCCGGGGACTCGGGGGCCGGCGCGCGGGGGCGGCCTGAGGGGGCGCGACCTCCTCAGGGGGTTGGGGCGGCGCGGGGGCCTCCCCGACCGCCGCCCCCGGCCACGACTCCCGGTGCTGGGGGTTGCTCTTGAAGGGAAAGCGCAGCTTGCAGTCGTGAGGGGGCACGAAGCGGGCGGGGGGCCGGCGCAGCCCCCCGCCCCGGCCCCCCGCGCCCTGCAGTCCCTGCAGCCGCAACTGCTCCTGCTTGAGCCAGCGCAGGCGACCCCGGCGGAAGGCCGGGTCCTCCTCCATGAGCCGCGACACCCTCTCCCAACTGGACAGAGGCGGCGACGGGGGCCGCGCTGGGGCCGGGGACGCGCGCTCGCCGGGGGCTTCCTCCTCTGCCGCCTCTGTCCCCGGGGACGCAGCCCAGGGGGCTTCCCGGGCATCTTCGTTCTCATCGTCGTTATCCTGCGAGGGG